CATGTCGGCTTCTTGTGCAGATGCTTCGACGATGTCTGGGCGAGTCCCAAATAGGACGAAATGCGCATCCTGGATTCCACTGCTAGCCACCATCCACTAATTGTATATAAATTCATGAATTTGTATTATTATCTTTCCTAATTTTTCTGACATTCAGCTTATTTTATGTTGATGCTATTTAGCTGTAATCTATCAATATTATTGATTCGATGTTATTTAAACAACATGAATGTTGGTCATAACACTAATTCATTGATTCACTACAATGTATATATAACTGTAGAGCTTGATGAAGAAGTTGTCGAAAAGAGTACTCTTTGTTCAGTATCCATTCATTTGAAAATTACATAATAATTAATGAATATTTTTAGAATATAACAGATAGTAAGGAGTGAATAGATCTACAACCGACGTTTTTGTCCGGTGGTACTGTCTCCTACCACTCAGTTGCACTTTTATTTGCTTAGGTCCTAAGTTGAACATTGAGCTTCAACAGCGTATCTCCATTTCATTCTGTTCTCTGCAATCATCTTTAGCTGGTTCCACGACCCCCCCCTTGAGATCTTATCCCCCCCACACACGATCTCCTTCTTGTCACCATTGAACCCACACCCAGCTTGTTGTTTTCCGTGTCGGGTTCCACTCAATGGTCTCCCCAGTATCTGTCTGATCCATCTCCATGTTGTTCAACATATATGTGGAGCAATAGCTTCTTCATTGGTTTGTTCTCAGAGTTTCTTGTTGACAATTCTTTCTAACCGTCTGATCTTCAGGCAGCTGTTGAAAAAGATCTGCTGTCGCCTACTAGAAAGGCATTTTGGGATGCATCAAGTCTGTGGACCATATATAGAAGAAGTAACTTGACATTAGTGTTAAAAATCTCAATCTTGTTCTTTACGTTTAGTGTGGCAGATTTTCGGACTGATTTCAGAGTAGTAGAAGTCTGTCTTGCCTTTCAGATCTTGAGTTTGACTTCTTCATCTTTGCTGTTTGTATTTAAAGCGATGCTATCTAGAGAGAAGTGAAGGAAGTGACTTTCTTCAAATTTCTCCAGTTGACACAGTCATTAGTGCATTTTGTTGTATTTGTTGTTTAGTTATCTTCGTCATCTCTATCTTCATGTTCACTTGAAGTGTTGTCTGCTCTATCACTGAGTCTCAGCAATCTCAAAAACCCTGACCGACAATCTACGCCTCTTTCTGCGACTGTTATGTTGCTGCTGCTGTGTGGTTAATAGTAGTTTTCCCCGTCGCCAAATTGTTATGTACTCGTCGACAAATTATTGTTATGGACTGGTCGAGAAACTAATAGTCCTGACGCAAGAAGGCGGAAATCAGAAGACCACTAGGTTTGCGATGATACTTCTATTTCCAAATACAAGGAGAATGCAATAAGTGGTATCACACCAAAGTGGTAAGTAAGTCACACAAATTGTGAGAACGAAATATATATATAGCAAAATATAGCAGACATGTCAACAACCACCATATATGGATATATGTCACTAAGCAACGGACTGTCAACAAACACTCATATTATACATAATATAAGGGGAATATACATTGTTAAAGGAGACAGGTTCATACAAGTGAAATGGTCACAGACTAAGAGAGCAAACAGAAAGAGAGACCAACATACACACACACATAAATATATATATATGTGGATACATATCAGCGACTTCAAGGAATGTTACCATATTTCCGTCTGATAATTCCAACATGTATATAATTAAATAATTGCGAATAAAAGTTAGGCTTGTTTGTGTTTGATTTGATGATTATTCTGATTAATTTAAGAAATTCATGCAACTAAAATAATTGATGATAATACTTATATTAATATACCATGGTCTGTCAGATAAAGTTTCTTCTCTTCACATGCTAACAGTTTATCTTAAAAATAGACTACATATTTTGCACATCTGGTATCCATAATTTCGGAAAAAGAAAGAAAGTTGTTAATTAATTTTTTAAAGTTTTTTTTTGTATAAAACTTACATTTACACAAATCAATCAAGCAGCATAAATGACCTGCTACTGCTGGGTAATAGGTAGACTTTGATCATCCTCTGAAGATGTGCTCTCATATGATCCACGCCGTTCAAAGCCCTCTGTCATATAAGTCCTATTCAGTGCCTTCACTTTGTGGGGATGTTCCTTACTAAAGTGAATGGGGGAATTACGAACTTCTGGTGCTTACAACCGAACTGGTGGACATGCAGGTCTATTTACTTAGAAGAGGTCTAAAACCCTGATTCCAAACATATGGTGAGCATGAGCTTTAAAATCTGAAAGAATCGAATGGCTTATGAATCTATTTCGGTCTATGATGACCATGGAGACGTAACTTCTGACACTGCTTCACTGCTTTGTAGATCAGACTTCAAGTCAAAGGCGCGGAAACCGGAGAGAGATGGCTCTTTAAGATAGCCGCCACCTTCGACACTTTTCTTAGTGCGCATAATGTACTAAGTCTGTTTTAAGTATAATACTAATAAATGACAGATTAAATTTAATTCTGAGCGTCTAATATGCTATACACTTATCACCTGCTTGTCTAACAGCCAACATTTTATATTTGAAGACATATAGGTTCACTAAGTCATACTATAATCAAAGCTCATTAAAATTTTCAATTTCATTCTACGATGTAACCACTATTATCAGTGCTTGGATATCCAGTTCAGTTAACCGTATCCCTAATAGAGATGTAATTTTCGAGGTTTACATTTCATCAGAAAAAAACAGCAAGTGTTAAGTGGAGTTATTCCTTTTCCAATCCTTTAATTATAAGTACATTGTGTTGTCGTACTGTTGTATACCATTGTTATACCTTGACATCTTGTCCTGCCTTGTACAGTAGAAAAGGAAGATTATATCTTTTTGTTTATCTCAGTGGACTACAAACACTATATAAACATGTATGTGCACGTCTTTAATTGTCATTATGATATACTACTCACAATGTGTCGTGGTGAATTGTAATCTACTTCAACTAGTTTTCTTCACTTAGATTTTTCTTAAAAATGACAAAAGTAGTCCTCCACATACTTAGGAAAATCGCTTGAAGATAATTCATTCACATCAAAATATTTTTTATCCAAACAGGTATGAACATGTTCTGTCGACATCCTGGTTCCCTTAAAACCATAACCTAGATGCATACATCTTAATTTAATTGAGTCGATAAGTTGTCATCACATATAATGAAAACAGAGTGCCCCAAGTACTAACAATAAATCTAAAAAAGTTAACAAAAGCATTAGGTACTTGTAAAATCGGTCATTACTCCAGGTCAAAATACCAGTAAATACCTTTTGCTTTTATTGAACAGGATGCCCATATTATTATTTATGTCTAATTCATCATTTAAGTGCGTCGGCGGCGCGGCGGTAGAATGCTCGCCGACCATGAATGTGGTCCCGGGGTTCAATCCCTGGCCGACACACTCCCTTATCTCGTTAACCAGTAATGAGACTGATAAAGAGGGAAGGTTGGGCATGAGTCTAGCAACCCCATCCCGTCAAAATAAACACCATTGCTATCGAAACTACAAGTCTCTAGACTGAAACCCTATGTTCCACTGGGAACGTAAAGGAATAAAAAGAAATTGATCATTTCCCTGTAGCATATGATAAATGCATGTCTGAGTTTTTCTTTGCTCCATAAAGAGTCCATCATTAGGCGGAAAGTCTGTCTGTCTGGATTCAACATAGAACTTGGCACCGAAGTGCAGCAGTTTGAGTTGCCACCTTCCAAATAGCACACAAGGGTATACAAGAAGATGAGTGAAGAGAATCAATACAGTTTGACAAGTATAAGAGTGAAAAAGAATGGGTAATGGTAGAAAGGAATATGAAAAATTACAGAGACTGAATACATCTGCGCTGGCCATTGACAGCGATTTTGAGCCATGTCACCTATTGTCTCCAGCCATTGATTCCTAGAGTCAGTCCCGAGGCCCCCAACCCGGGAGTCTGCATCTCCCTACCTTACTCAGTTTAACTGTCAAGGATATCATGGATTGATGCCACGTTTTTGTTTGGCCACCACTGGCTCTTTTCCAACCTGAACCTATGTCAGCTTGCAATGCCCGTCGGGGGAGGCGGTGGTTAGGCATGCGCAGCACGTGACCTAGCCATCTTAGTCTATGTAACTTTATAGCCTCGTCGATTGATTTTCCCTCTTTGCCCAACACTCTACGCCTAACGTCAATATTACTTACCTTGTGAAACCACCTAACGTGAGACAGAGATCGCAGACATCTATGATCGAAAGCAGTCAACCTTTTCATGTCTTCAACGCGTATTGGCCATGTTTCAGAGACATAGAGAAGGACGGAGCAAACTGATGAGCGGAAAGTATACAACCGACATTATTGATTTCCGTATAGGTGGTATATTTGATTGAAACTCCTTCTTGTGAATATAAGTAAGTGCATATGTGAACAAACAGTCTGTCATATTTCACAGTATTCAGTCAACTAAATTACATGAAACCTCTTTAGTTTCAACGGTATGTGTGTATACATACCTACCACATTAGTAAACTATGAATCAACATTAAGGTCAAGTTAAATTTAATTATTCACATTAAACTATAGTTCTACTAAGACCACCATTACCACCGAGTCTTTTAAGAAATACCATTTACATTGTGCATTTATAGTTGAAGTGAATACATTTATACATTTACCAAAATAGAGAGTTATATTATATTTCTTTGGCATTATTTAGTTCATTTAAGGGAAAGCTACAAACAAAAATTACTTATGCATACATTATAAGAATAGGTTAATGTATTTCTTAATTGGTTGGTGTTTCTTTTGTACTATGCTAAAATTGTGTGTGTATGTATGTGTGAGCGAGAGTTCAGTTGCTCTTTTTCCTACATATGTAAACTTTTTATCTCAATTATCGTCTCTGTAATAAAAAAGAGAGTATAATTTGTTTTCTTTCTATTTTCTCTCTCGATTGTTTTCTTTTTTTTTCAATCTAGAAACAAGCAAATTTTATCAGTGCATCTGTAGCAACAACTCGTGCTCGTAATGAATATCTAATTCAATTAGCGGCTACAAATCACAGTGTTCAACGCTATTTCACACAAGAAGCACCGGATATAGTCGATGTAATATTATTACTTATGATTGCTTATGCATATATATTTCGTTTTTGTACATTTTTTAACCTTACTGAAGTGATCGTCATTTCAAGTAGAGAACATGTATTCATCATGTATTTCGACATTGATGATTGTTCAACGGTAGAATGCCCGCCAACCATTCAAGTGGTCTGGGTTTGATTTCCGACTGACACACCTAAAGCTTTCTTAACTGGGAATAAGCCCAGTAAAGAAGCAAGGTTGGGAGTGAGGTTAGAAATCCCCCGCCCCCCTCCCATAGAAAGGAATAGCATCACTGCTACTGAAACTTCGAAGGGCCAAGTTAAACTTTAAACATCACTGACTACCAGTGGAGTGCGACTGCACCAACGACCTTGAAACGCTCACTGTACAAGTCAGTGTGAAACCTGGCAAATAATATTTCCATCATCAATAAAATATGCACATCGAAATGTTGTACTATTAAATGGGATTTCCGGCAGATTTCAGCTTAGGTTTGGGAAACATTAAGTTACGCTTTTAGCCAAGGGTTAGGTAAACCTATTAAGGGCGACATTAGGATTGCTTCGAGTTAGATTGTAGTTAGTTTAGGGATATTTTCACACTAGGGTTAAGTTTAGGAAAGATTAGGGTTAGTGTTAGGCTTTGAAGACCTAAATAATTATATACATAGAATGTGGTTCAATTACTCTGTTGATATAAGAATAGTACTTGTGCACTGTGGTAGAGTATAATTCCCGTTGTAGATAAAATTTTATTTTGGTAAAGTCACACAGTGTTATACAACAGTAATATTTACTGATAACGTTTCGAAAACAATTTATTACTGTTCATAATCATGTCAAGGTACTCTCATACAACTTTTTTGCTTCGTTTGCATAAATGCGTAAAAAGTGATTAGATATTTGAATGAAATCAATATAAGGCATACGTGAAACAGAAAAGAAGATAAAGTACATTCGGAAACAATGTTATTGTTATCAATAAATATAATACTGTGGGAATTAAGACTAAATACACTTTAAAATGTATTTCAGTTCACATTATAACATTTCCCATCTAATTGACTAAGAACACTCGTCTTATTTCCCACCCTATTGTATTTTCTTGATAACACTAATATTGTTTCCGAATGTACTTTATCTTCTTTTCTGTTTCACGCATTTCTTATATTGATTCCATTCAAATGTCTAATCAATTTTTACTCATGTATGCAAACGAAGCAAGAAAGTTGTATGAGAGTACCTTGACATGATTATGAGCAGTAATTGTGTTCGAAACGTGGTTATCAGTTAATATTACTGTATAACACTGTGTGCCACTTTATCAAATTAAAATTTTATTCACAATGGAATTATACTCTCCCACAGTACCCAAGTTTTATCCTTGTAACTTGGCGCCCCATGTTACATTCGAAAAATTGAAGGAATAAAACAAGAAACAGAAATGCTAATTGGGAACTCATCTAATCTAAGGAAACTGTATCCAAGTATTGACCTGACTAACTTCCTCCTATGAATTGTTCTACTGTCCAACTAAGTAAAACATTCTGTTAGTGTTCTGCTGCGATATAAAAATCATCTTTCTTTATTCTCAAATCAATAGTATGCAATTTTTCATTAGTTCAACGCTCTTTCCCGGTTAATCTATGTGTGCGTTACGTCTTTTTTGAATAGTAAATTTCAACTGCTATTCAAAGCGTACGCCCAACATTAATCATATATATATATATATGCTGATTTTCGCCCGTCATTCCACTTGAATATAGCGGGATATGACGTAAGTTTGTCAGCACATCATTGTCATAATCATTATTATTTGAAATATAAAGATCTTATTACTGGTGGGTTCGACCAATAATTATAACAAGATAGTCAAGACAAGCTCTCTTTCTCTCTCTCTCTCACCACCGTTTTGTTAGAAGTGTTATCGAAATTCGTACTTGTATTATGCATTATTTATTTTGATTTTATTCCTTTGCGTTCCGAGTGGAATATAGGGCTTCAGGCTTGAACTTTAGAGTTTCATTAGGAATGGTGTTGAATATTTACGGGGTGTGTCGCTAGCCGCAGACACAGTCCCCCTTCTTTTCAAGCAGGGTGAAGTTTCGGAGTGCATCGACCGGGAATTGAACCTGGACCATGTGGGTTTTCTGGCGAGCATTCTACGTCCAAACCATGAACACAATATTTATCTGACTATAATTTCATTCATATCTGAGTGTACTATTTGTTGTTATTGGTGTTATGAATGCGAAGGAGTATACCAGTTTTTAATTTGAATTTTCTGAATCAAGAAATTCATTGATTGTTTCACCATAGGATTTTATTCCATTGATATTGCTTTCACCAAACAACCAATGGCTGCGTCGATTTTTGGTATTCTCTGACTTAGGTTATTTTAGTCTTCCCAGTCTGTCTTCTTACATGATACTGTGTACAGATGGAAAGCCTTGGCCTATACGACTGATACCATTTGCTTTGTTACTTCAAAATATTTGCCTACTCAGTGTATTTAGGTAACCGTCAAACAATCTTAGATCGTACTTGCAATCGATCAATCGATCATCAGTATGAGAAGTTTATACAATACTGGTTTCATTTATGATTATAACTGTAATGGAGTTCAGCCAGTCACCTGATACTAATTAAATGTTTTCAGAATGTTACTGTCCATTTGTTCTATTAACCAGATCTCATCTATTGATTGATAGGACTACTTCACTATTGGTGACCACTATATTGTATTGCTTATCTGTTTATGACCAATTCTTAGTTATGCTTTTCAAAAGCCAGCTAACGTCCCATATTTGGAATAAATAGGCCTACTATATGACAAAAGCGTCGGTGGCATAGCGTTTAGGACGCTCGCCGACCATGCACATGGTCCGGGGTTCGATCCCCAGCCGACGGACTCCTCTACCTCGCTAAGCCAGAAGTAATCCTGGTAAAGAGGAAAGGTTGGACATGAGGCTAGCAACCCCATCCTGTAAAAATAAACACTACTGCTACAGAAACTTCAAGCCACTAGCTTGGAGCCCTATGTTCCTCTGGGGAACGTGAAGGAATTAAAAAAAAATATGACAAGCAAGTCTTCTAGCTAGTTACCACCTTGATTTTATATCAGATCATCTAAATATTAAAATCATTCTACACACATTAAGTGGCACCCACTGGGTTGATGTACGTTGACGCACACACAGTTATTTTCTGGTTAAATTTTTTTAAATGGTGTGCGTTTGGAAGGCGTTTTTGTCTTTCCCCACTTAGTACTAATTGTTTTTAACTCTGGTAAAACTGTTAAGATCTCTTTTTTCCCTCAGTAGCTATTGAGATATATATTGAAGTAGTTTAATTATATAAGGCCATCTCTTTTTATCCTACTCTACAGAAGAGGATTTCGTGGGATAAATTTTTATTTGATGTAATTGTTTGTCCAAATTTAGTTATCATTGGTATAGAGGCCATACAACTCTTGTTTCTGTGGAATTTCGTACCAAGAAGTTGTAGAACTTATTGTAATTATTTGCCTTTCGAACACTGAATCTGTGGATATAATCTTGTTGATCGATAATACCTATAACTATCTGCTTGCCATTTTGTGACTGTCTAACACTAACTAATATCTATAATTGTATATATTGATGGATTTACGTGTCCAAGTTGGCTCAGGTCAGTGAGTCTATGATTTTGGGTTGCTAACTGTATCTGACTGTGATACTACTGCTAAGGTTATTTTTTTTATTGTTTTCGCTGCCCTTCCTGTTGTGAATTATTTCCCTTTTGCTGGTATTGTCCTGATTGGTTTATTCCTTATTTTCCTGATTTTAAGAGTGGGGGGGGACAACCCACAAGGTCGCTTCTTTGTGGACTATATTTTAATGTAACAACCCCCTTCTCAAGCCTGCGGCTAACAGCCTCACCCTGTAAACAAAGTTACTACAAAAACTTCAGCACGATGCATCTCCTTGCACCAAAAGAAAAAGTCTTTGTGTGAATATGGAATGTCTGCACCATGTACGTGATTGGCAAAGCTGCCCAGATTGCAAACGAGATGAAAAGATACGGAATTCAAGTACTGAGAATATATGAAAGCAGATGGAACGGGAATGGACTCCCCAAATTGTCAACGGGAGAGTCAGTGATCTACTCCGGTCACCCAGAAGACAACCACATGCACACCGCGGGCGCGGCTATCATGATGTCACCAACGGCAACGAAGGGTCTGATGCAATGGGAGGCGATCTTGCCCAGGATAATAACCTCCAGATTCAACTCCAATGCTTTGCACCCACAAACAACGCAGACCTAGAAAAGAAAGAAGAGTTCTATAGGCAACAATGGGCAATACTCTAGTTGGTGACATTAAAATACTAATGGGAGAAATGAACGCCAAACTGGGACCAGACGACACAAGAAGGGAACTCATCATGCGTAGAGGAGAAGCTTTCGGAGAAATGAATGAAAATGAAGAACTCTTCGCCGAACTTCTGCGTCTTCAATCAACTAGTGATTGGCAGCAGCATATACAAACTCTTAGAAATGGTGTTATTCTCATGCAGATTTTACCACTGATTATCATTTCCTGGCCTCATGTTAAACATTTTAAGGTGTGTTGTTAAATGTTCCAGCTGAACAGCTTATTGTTTCATTTAAGAAAGTTGTATACTTAGAAGTGTAGTGAAATTTTGTGCATAAAGACTGGTGGTTGTTCTCTTTCCGGGGGTAATTTTTAGCTATGACTTTATAATGGACATTATTGTTATTTTTATTTATTTCCTGTTTAAAAGTCAATTAATGTGTCATTAAAACGCGGTATCCTGACGTTTTATTGTCTTATGCTATATAGTATCTAAACTGCTTACCTATCACTTGTTAACAATGTCAGAGCTTAGAGATAAAAAGAACTTGTTTTTTCTTACACATTGTTGACATATTTTTTGTTAACTTCACTTCCTTCTTTCTTTCTCTTCAGTGTCTTGTGTGCGGTTTTCATAATAGTTTAGCTCGATCAGCAATGATGCATTTGAGTTGTGAAGAAACATTGAAATCATGTCATGGTTCAATTGTTGAAATGTTGAATAGAAATATTACAGCCCTCGATTTACGACAGGATAAAGCATGCTTCTTCAAACGAAATGAACAAGTGTATACACGTCCTGGTCAATTCACTTTTATGCCATCAAAAGAAGACAATGTGAGTGAAGTATTTTTGTTGTTGTTTTTTATGATTGCTTTACCTTTTCTGCTCTGTATCCTTTATATAGTTTACATTTACATTCCTTTACAGCCCTTTACATTCAATGGACACACTGGGTCTTAACTAATGTCATGCATCTAATCCTTTTGGTGTGGGCTGAGCTCTCTCAGTCAAGTTTTTGTTGTGGCCACCATACTAGGTGGTACTCTTAGTGCACTCTGAGTTGTTGTTAGGTCGACATTCAACCATCTAATAACCTTTTAAGATAAACGTAAATTGTGTTGCGATTCATAGACTAGCGTATTCGCAGAGGTTAGAATTCATGGACCATCTAATTCCATCTCAGTAGCTTCATAGTAACTTTGTTCGCAAAGCAGCGTGACCTCATGAAATGACTTCAGAGGTGTTTATGGATGGTGGAGACAGTTTACTGTCTGCGTTAACAAAAATATCAGTGTCTGGGCACCAGAGGTAGTCCCGTCGGGCTGGTGTATGCCATTGATTATCCCGACGTGAACGTGGCTTCATCAGTCAATGAAATCCATAACAGCTAGTTTGAACCAGCCAGTCATGTAGGGAGTTGTAGACTGCTAGCTTGGTTGGGTTCCTCGGGATAGTAAAAACCAGTGGCTAGAGACAGTCGGTGCTAATATGGCTCAAAATCGTTCTCAATGACTGGTGCAGATACATTCACTCTTTATGATTTGTCATATCTAATGAAACTATTGTTCTTCTATATTATTTCAAAACTGTCCTGTATTGTAAAACAGAGAAATTTTGTAGCAATTAACTACTTACACCATAGCGTTTGTATCCTTTGAAGTATTGTACACTGGATAGTGCTCACATATACCGATTACACTTAGATTATGTGTTTAACCTTCTAGTTAAGTTATGTGAATAATTACAGGATGAAATGTGACCTTTTTGTTATGAGTATTAAATGTCTACTTGGCTAACTGGTTCATACACCCTTATGTAAGCTTTGAGTCAATATTAATTTCTTGTGGTAAATCATTGAGTATGCTGTTATTATTATTAATATTATTATTATTATTAATAAAGGGTTGCTAATCTCTACATTTATAACTGACGACAAAGTTATTATTGTTACAAGACGACAACAACAAGCACAAATTAACAGATTTATGGAAAATCAGAGAAATATTTTCTAGAGTTGTTAAACGTACCATATTATATTAAGTATGAAGAAAAGACAATTAATTTGCTGGCTAAACTGAACATATATTATGAACATTCCTTCCTTTCTTCTTCTTCCTATCTGATTGTGTAATATACTCCATTCATTAGGATTCTTGTATCAGCTTCATTGTAAACATCCTAATAGTCAGCTCTCGTTTCAAACATGATGACTGACTGAATTTCGACATTAAGCTTTGCATAGGAGTGCAGCAGCTCAATTTGTCACACTCTACATATGTGATGAAGAAATAAAAGAAACAGAGATTCGAGAAAAAAACAACTTTTAACAGTAAAAATGTGCGCTGGAGAAAGAATAGTTCAAGCTAGATAGGATTTTTGATTGAACACTCGTCAGTAACTAGTGCAATGTATCTAATCTTATCTTCGGTGCAAACTGAATTCTATCAGTCACGTTTGCCATGTGACCACCAAGCTAATTGGCTTGCCGTCATGGTGCACTGCGAACTGTCGGTATTAGATGGTTGGAGGCAATCGGCCACAGGAAGCTTTAGACCTAGGTTTCATGCTAGCTGGCATTCACCAGTCGCTTTTGGGGTTCGAACCCGTGTTACCCAGTGCAGCAGCCAAAGACGTTACCACTGAGCTATTCAGACTAGCGATTGACCTCCTGTAGGACCGTATTGGATATTTTTGACTGGGCCTTTAGTCAGTAACTAGGTCCGAGGCTTGCTGCCGATTGCCTGCAACCATACAATACCAACAATTCACAGTGCACCGTGATGGCGAGCCACATAGCATAGTGGTCACATGGCATGCATGACTGATATAATTCAGTCTGCATCAAAGATAGGTCTAGACGCATTTCGCTCATTACTGACTAGTGTCCAATCAAAAATATCCAATACAATCCTGAAGGAGATCAATTGAGAGCCTGAATAGCTCAGTGGTGGCGTCTCTGACTTCAGCATTGGGTGACGTGGGTTCGAATCTCAGAAGGGACATGAGTTCCTTCAAGATTGCAGATACGCCTCGCTGACTGGTGAATGTCAACTAGCACGAAGCCTAGATCGAAGGCTTCCTACCGATTGCCTCCAAGCATCTAATAGATAGGTTTTTGAGTGATGCTGTGAATATATCATCCCGAGAATTGCATTTTTTATATACAATATTCTGTTGATTTCTGGGACTGATGTGTTGAAAAAAATATCACAATCATCAAGATTTTTTCAAAAACTATTTGATTGTAATACTATTAAACAACATGTCTCTGTTAGTGTTGTATAAATAATTTCCGCTGTGTAGAGTAACACACATCATGTTAAAGGTAGTATAACTTACGGTAGTAGTATTATCTTTTGTTTTACTCGTTTACTAGTTTTGAATATTTTTGGCGACATTTAAGCAAAGCAAGATTTCAGTGATAAGACATTAAATATTTACCTATCAAATGTAGCTTATATGCTTAAAACTTTCTTTCCATTTCATCACAGGAAGATAAAATTCGTGCAGATGGTCCATTGTACGATGAACTTCAGACTACAGCTAACCAACTTATGAGTAGTATTGAAACACTTCGAGTGTCAACAGATGAAACTTGGAAAACATTGGAAGAGGTAAATATTCTTTTTAATAAATATATTCATCATTCTGTATGTATTCTTTCATTTTGTAACTTCACCAACTGTTAGCTTTATGCAATGTTCATAAAAAGTACTATTTAGGGTGAGGCTATTATTATTATTATTGTTCATGCATATTAGTGTTCTACCTTTCTCATACACTTATTTTCAAAGATTCAAAGTATTAAACTTCGTCAGTGATACTGTTGTAGGTGTATTTTCGAATAACACAATGAGCCATCTTAACTCACTATGCTCATTGTAACGATCTCCGAGATGGAGTGACAACTTAAGCTTAGGACAGAACTCACCACCCTCTAGTCACCGCTTGAATGGTATGTATAGATGCCAGCCCTCCAACACTGTTCATTATTGCACAAGCTATTTCTAATCTAAACAGGAGCGCCTGTTGATGTGACTCCAGAGGCATCCCAGGGTGACTCTGATGAATTATCAGTTAGACTAATTTACTAGCTAAAGTATCGTAATTCGATACAGTTCCATACGTCTAATGTCGGTTGCTAAATACCTAAATTAATGCTAATTGATACAAATCCCTTCGCGTAGTAGCTAATAAGGTATCAATCGCCACTATCTGTTTCATCTGTTGCCAGGGAATATCTCACTGATTTAGAATTCACAGACGATATGATGTTTTCAGAAGAAGACACTGACTAAGTATAATCTTTAGAACGTCTTAGGCAAAAACAAAACAGTGTTTCATATACTGTTCGTTCAAGGGTAGTGTATGAAATAGGTGAGTATGTGAGAGCTACTTGGCTTATTTGGGAAGTTGCATCAGAACTTATAGAATGAGTATTGACAAAGTCTCAGCGCACATACAAATAACTCGTCTGGTACTAGCCATCTTTCATCATTTTCGATTTATGCGTGATATTCACTCAGTCATCTATCTGTTTTGTTTTATTTTTATGAGAAAAGGCCACCAAAGTTAATTATGCAAAAATTAGAGGTATTGTTCGGCAATTGTCCGCGGTCAGTCGTATTTATAAGGAGAATAATGATAAGTAATAGTAATCATGTTAGTTGTAGTGGTGGGTGGTGAGTAAGAGAAGTCAGTGGATTAGGTCGTGAGTAAGACGGCTAGGGCGTGCCTCAAATTTACTAAGCCACTGACTTCCCCAACTAGTGGTGTTAGCTGAACTGGGACCAAGTTAGTTAGTAAAGATTTAGAACTGGTGAAGTGCAAATACGTAACACTAATCCATAGGAATTTCTGTGGGCCACCTAAGTAGTTCTACTGAATTTCGGCTATTTGAAGTGATATATATATATATATATATATATATAATTGCTCTTTTATATTAAGTCTTTCAGACTATTACATTAGCGGTTAGCTTAGCTTAGTGTCATTACAGTGTAGGTACTCAATTTATAATTTGTAGGTGGGTTAAAAAATTTATTGTCTAATTTCTGTTCTCACAAATATATATCATTATTTAACGATTTTTCTCTATCGCTCCATGGTGTTCTAATTTTCAAAGTACTTTTTGTAGTATTCAATTAATCGATATATTTTTATTATAACACAACAAATCGATATCGTATTCTATTATTTCTCTCGTTTGTGTTTCTTTTCCGGTTTTATAGTAAAAAAAATAAATTGTTTTACCCTAATTATATTCGTTACGAAATTCATTTTATTTATGTTAATGTGTTTACGTGTAACCTTAGCTACGCAAAGTTTATCGTATAGCGCAAATGTATTACCTCCCAATGGTATACTTAAGTTCGCTTGATTTCATCATCTGTAACTCCTATAATGTCATTGCAAATACATATTAGGAACCAACTGCACATCGAAATACTTCTGTCTCTTCGTTTTTCATCTCTGCCAGTTATGACAGTTGAAGTGAAAATTGAAGGGACGAAATATATGATAGCGAAATAAAGTTGTCCGAAGCAGTTCATCCATTTCCCGTCTAGTGCCCATCGTTACCAGTAGACTAAACACTTCAAATGACATAGGAGTGAAACAACCCTAGGGTTTAAACTGTATTCATTTTATTACTGTTATGTTTTTTCCCTGACCCCGTGTTTTTCTCTCTTTTTTTTAAGATTTTTGTTTTACCCTTGATATGAATTCTGAAATTATTATTTTCAATATCTATCGTTGCTTTTAGTGTTTCTGTCTACAATGAAGTGCATTCATGCCGTGTTTTTTTACTTAGTTTTCGTCTGTTTTTCGTGTAAATAAACTTTTTATTTTGTATGTTTTTATTATTATTCATTCAGTGGTAAAATCAAATCACTGTAAGAATTCCCAGTTGCCTGGGTGACAATGCAGATTCTTTTTCTTCTTCTTATTTTTTTTGTATTGTTCTAATGGTAATTTTGCATTGTTTACCATTTTGCAAAATATAAATCATGCGACCATGGTGTGTTTTTGTATGACTGCGTCTACGATATATATATATATATATATATATATATATATATATATATATATATATATATATATATATATGCGCGTCAGACAGTGGGAAACGAGAAGACAGGGATATCCTGGACCGGCGTGAAGAACCTAGAAGACCTGGATTTCGCGCGTGTATGATTTATGTTTGATGTCACACAAAATCAAAAACATACAAGAGAAAACCGACAAACTGGTCGAAGAAGCAGCCGGCGAAGACAGGACTCCAGGTGAACATATACAAGACAGAGGTTATGAAAATAACCAACAAATAACGACAACAGCAGCAAAATCCAGCGTCAATCACCATCAACGGGAGGGATTTGAAAGGGGTTACTTTATTCACCTATCTAGGGAGCATTGTCCTTCTCAAATACAGGAGGAACGGACGAGGATGTCAAATCGAGCGAGAATCGGGAGGGCGAGAAACGCACACATTCATCAACCTGAAACAACCAATCTGGAAATCTTCGTCACTCAACCAGCATCAACAGCAAAATTCAGTCGGATTTTCAATACAAACGTCAAGTCAGTCAGTTCTTCTACACGGATCAGAAACTTGGCGGGCGGGTGGGTCACAAAGAATATTTCCAACAGCCTTTATCAACCAACAACTGTCTTCGCTGGGTCTATACTGAAGATCACATGGCCGGGCCGGAAAGAATCATCAACAAGGAACTATGGGCACAAACAAACAAACAGACAAAACAAGAACAAATCGCCAACCAACAAATATGCAGGAGAAAGTGGAGATGGATTGGACACTCACTCTCTGAGGAGGCAGGCTGCTGGGTGATATCGTGTGCGCTTCAGGCCATTGCTCGAGTGGAACTAGGCTGAAAGGGAAGCGGCGAGTGGGACGTCAGTGCAAGGATGACATGGAGGAGATCGTGGGATGTGAAGAGGAGTTGAAAGAATATGGACTAACATGGATGCAGGTGAAAAGTACAGCAGAAGCAAGTGGCGCCGTGCAGTTCCACCAGGAACCCAAGGGAACAATAATGATAGTTATATATATATATATATATATATATATATATATATATATATAGCCTTGATACCTTTGGTTTGTGGTGTTTTCTCTCCAACTTCAATCTTATCACTTTTTTCCCCTTAGTGTCTTCATCAACAGTCAATCGATTGCATCACCTATCTGGCTGATCCGGATTTTTAAATCTAGACTGAGAAGGCATGATGTTGACAGTCGGATAAAACTTTTCGTGATTTTTAATTGATTCACCTATTGGACTTTGTAAATTAGTTAGTAGATCACTTTGTTGATAAGTGGTGATGGTAGTTCCTACAGTTGTGTTGTACACAGTTGTGGGTTTTATTTTCACTTTGATAATGATTGCATCACTTTGGTCTTCAAAGCACAAGTTGGGATTAATTTTGTCAGCTGTACGACTTAGTCGCATAATCCTAGTAAAGAATATGATTATAATGGGGGTTTCGTCAGTATTCTGTAGGTACACTGTAGGAGAGGCTAGTCTGGGAGGTAGGTAACTGGGAGAGAGGGCTTCCATTGATTCTACTGGCATATCGTCCGTCAATCCAGGAAACAACAAATAAGTTAGAATTCCAGTTGATGTACGGTAAGAAACTACGACTACCAATGTATAGCGCGACCTGGCCCATCCTCTAAGAGTAGAGTATGATGAGATTGGAAACGGAACGGAAAGAAGCCATCAGGAATTTAAAGCATAAACAGAAGAAAGACGCCGCTAGATTGGATGCATATCATATGAGTTCGGGGATCAAGTAAAGTGTAAAGAAAAAAACACATTGTCAGATGCAGGCCAGGTTCAGGGGAACTCCTTCCGAAAGTGGGGAGGTCTATACACTGTCACCAAGAGACGAGGTCCCGTTTATACTGTCAAAAGAGGAAATAAGCCAGCACCAGAAATGTATTCAGTGAGATAAGGTGGCCGAGACCAAAGCACAACTGGAACGGGTAGAATCAATAAGGTCGAAGCGCCTTCATTCGAAACTATTTGGTAGAGGGACGAGTGCAGCATGTGCTAATGAGAAGATTTATCAGTAGTACATAAAGAGACGTTCATCGGCATGAAAACATCGAATAGTGGGAAGATAGATTTGATGTCAGAGAAAGCAAATGATACAGCGTTGGATGTATATATATAGGCCGTTCTGTATGCTTTGGATCACCGGATAAATATGTCTGACTACACGGAAGATTGTTTCAACTTGTTAGTCCTTGTGATTGTTACCTGAAATTTATGGTAATGATATTTCCCTAATAACCTGTCGGATTTTTAGTTCAGTAATGAGATCTATTCATACTCTAAAGTATATTATTTGGAATATAACAACACCTTTGTTTTATAGAACATAGAGTTAACTATGCCTACTTTCAAATAAGATTTGATATTGTCCAGAAAAAATCAATAGATTTTTACATAATTTATGTTCAGTGTTGAATAGAAGTGGGTTCAATCTACTCTGATTGTCTTATTGTTCTTGTTGTTGCTAAACTTTCACTTATTGAATTTTTAGACCAACTTGTCTGATTTAGTGATTATGTTTCCTTATATTGTCACATAAATTATTTTTGTTTTTTTCTTATATTTCCAAATATAAGTGACATTTTCTTTTTTTTTATTGATTATTCCCATTTGTTTCTATTTCATTTTTATCAATATATTCCGTACTTTTTCTCTACTCTTTTTTAATACTTCAGGTTGAGAAGAAGTTACTAGAATTAATCAATCAGAAAGACTATGATGTTTCACGATTATTTTGTATTGAAAAACCGCGTTCAAGACGTTCACTAGGTGGTGGTGGTGGGGCTAGTGGTGGTATTACATCCAGTGTATCAAACAATCTAACTTCTTCAATTCCTTTAGGAAGTAGTATGGGTAGCATTGGTGCTGGTTCTGTCACCTCTTCATCATCATCTACCTCCCCAGGCGCAGGGAGTACTATCAATACAACACATTCAAATCAACAAGGTAGAAGTACAAGTCCTGGCCTGTTGCCTAGTTCAACTACCATGGCTAATCAAACCGGTGGAGTGGTCCTGGTGGGGGTGGGGTGGTTTACCAGCCCAGGATGTTTCTAGTAATACATCACAAATCAATCAATCAGTATTATCATTTGGTGGGAATGATCCTACTCAAGCTGGTTTATATCTTAGCTTGAGATCATTATTTCGTGATGCTCGAATTGAACAAGAAAAGTTTTACTTGGATGTAAGTAGAATCAATGTTAATTGCTTTGCCATATTTATTTTTATCATCTTGTAAACTAATACAATATAATAAAGTTAAAAATGTATATGCTTACTTGCTGCGTCAATTGTTGAAGGGTAGAGCGCTTGTCGACCCGAGCACGTACGCCGTCTGGGTGTCGATTATCGGTTTACACACTCTTAAATCTTCTCAGCCGTAGTAAGCCATGTAAAGAGGAGAGTTTAAGCGTAAGGCTAGCACCCACATCCCATGAAAAAAGCAACTACACAACTATTTAAGTGTTCGTTTGTAGGGATTTGGTTGGTTACAGGATTTCATCATGAGCTGACATTGGTTAGAGAACCATTGGAAAACCCACCAGAGAGTACTGGACAGCTGCTTCCTCCTAGTTTAGGGACTCTTCACAGTACGCACCCACCGCCAGAGTTCGAAACTAGGACTGTCTGGTTACAAGGCGAGCTCATAAACCATTAAGCATTGGGACCCGATCCAGTGGCCCATGAATTCTAATTTCTGCCAATTCATGACATAGCACGACCACTAGCTCTATTCAGGTAGGTAGTTACCTGGGGTTCTAGGGAGAAGTTGTGACCAGTAGGATGCAGCAGGTCGGGTGTGATGACAAATACTCGCCGAAGACATTGGCTAGGGGTCGCGTATGTCGTGAATTCGCAGAAGTTAGAATTCATGGGCTGGCCATTGGATCGGTTTCCAGTAGCTTAATGTTATTCGAGCTCACTGGCATTATAACCAGAAGGTCCTGGGTTCGAATCCCAGTGGGTGCGTACTGCTGAAGAGTCCCAAACTAGGCTGGCGAAACAGCTGTCCAGTACTCTCTGTTGGTTTTCCAATGGTTCTCTAACCAATGTCAGATCATGATGAAATCCTGTAACTTCGCAACTGCTGCTGAAACTTCACAGCTCAAACTGGAAGGCCTATGTTCCACTGGGAGCACAAAGGAATAAAAGAAAGGAGAGTAATAATTGCTTAAATTTGCAAATTTTGTAAGTTAAGCTCCAGAATACATTTATTGTCAGTGCTTTTTGGTTTAAAGAGCAATAAATGTATTGTTATATTGTTTAAAACTGCCAGTAAGTTTATCTTTCAAGCTCTAGTACTGAAATTTATGTTGTTTTTTTGCAGGACAACTATTATCAACATTATTTTGACTTAGTTGTGTTCTCTGAGCTGATTGGTTTAATTGTGAAGCTTGCGTTGTACCCCTTCTAGACAACATCTTCAGTACAGGTTTTAGTATAAAATGAAGTTATTGTATTCTTCATGGATGATGATACAATTGTATCTCCTCCCAACAAACTGTTGTTAATTTACGTCTCTTGTTCATTTTTCTTGACTTGGAATTTGAACTTTCTTGTCAGCATGTGATTTACTTTATACAAGCTGGTAAATTTGGTCTATAATAATAATGTGTGTTTATTAATCGCGGATTCACTTGAGTACCAACCAGGCATCTAGAAATCCCTTGGCGGCATTTTTGATGTTTCCTCTATTTAAAATCTCCACATTGAATACCCCTACAATTCATCAAAAAGTGTTTAAACTCAAGTCATAACACCAACAGGAAACCATCACAAAAGGACTGCAAGAAATTCATTCTACATATAATAGAAAAAGTATTTCTAAAAATAACAGCTAGAATATTAAGACTGTTTGAAATAGATGTAGTACACAAAGGCAGCCAGTCAGTACAATCACTTCATTCGATATTGTACAAAGCGAAAGATCCAACAGGAAAGAAGATAAAATTATTGCCATTTACAAAATAAATTGCATGTATGAAATGCAATAAACATTACATTGGACAGAGTTGGCGTCCCCTTCAAAATGGAATCCGAAGACACAAGTTAGCTGTAAAATGGCATGATATATATTCTTTCATATCACTGCATGTAGATAATTACTGACACCAATTTGATTGGGATAATGTCGGAATTTTAAATAGAGGAAATACTAAAAGTAAAAGTGCCGCCAGGGAATTTCCAGAAGCCTGGTTGGTATTCAAGTGAATCAGCGATTAACAAGTACATTACTATCGAACTTCTCTCAATATAGATAGGTGCACGTATGCCTTGTTTCTCTTGTAATCGATGTGATTCATAGTAAGAAGAAAACAAAATACAGAGACAGGGTAGCATAAAGTGGATTGGCTATCACTAACCTGTTGATTAATATGATTATAGGCGTCATTTGAGTGATAGTGCATAATATTTAGCAGTGCCTGTTTCAAGTCAAGGTGCGTCTGTGGTTCAAATAGTAGAATGCTAACCACCAGCAACGCAGATGGTCCAGGTTCGATCCCGAACCGATGCAGTTCCTGAACCTCACGTAGTTTAATAAAGCAATAGGAACCCCAGAAAAGAGGGAAAGTGTTGAGCTTGAGGCTAGCAATCTTACTTTATATAAATAACACAGCCGCTACGGAAACTTGAAAAAAAGCGCTCGCTAAAACTTCTTTGTTTCACTCGGCGGAATGCAAAGGGATGAGAAAGAAATTTTCAATCAAAGATAATCTCTTAATTTCGATTATCTTTTAATGCCATCTTAGTGTAAGTACACTTTTTTTAGTCATTAGACATCCCTTTGCTGTTAATATTGCTATACAAATGAATGCCCTCTTATCAAAAATAAACAAAACTGTTCAGATGTCATAATTATTTGCTAAGATATTCTCTCTCCTAGTCACGTGTGGGCTAGCGATAGGTGATGGGTGTGGTTGCTACAATGTATGTCTGTTAAAGTTTCCTTTGTGTTTCTCACATAATAAATGCAGTATTTTCTGACCCAAATAGTCGGATCACGTATGTCGGACTAACATTATCAACCATTTGTCATATTACTTCAAAACCACCCAAATAATAAATTTGAGTAGCTGTCTAAATTCTAGTTCATATATGTATGATTATTGTGCATTTATTTTGAGGCGTCTACTGATACAACACTGGATACCCTTGTCATCTTGCTTGTCTTAGCAATTTTAATTGTATATTTGTCGGTGTCTGAACGTTCAGACGCATTTGACATACTTTTGTCTTTTAAATCTCTCTAGATTTAAGCTACTATTCCTATGTGAGTCATATATATGTATATGTTAGTAAGTATTTGTCTGTTGTTTTTGTCAGTTTTAATATTAATTATTATCAGTCTTTAGATTGTTTAATACTCTTTATTCTATACACAGTATAAATGTAATTATGACTCATCTAAACTAAATGCTGCTAATAGTAACATCTGGTTTAACAAAAAGACTATTTTGTTTAGTTAATAGAACAAAATGTTCAGATGCAAGTGATTAGTATTCAATTGCCTTGGTTAACGTATCCAGTTATGTGATAGAATAACTTTTGTTTAGTTACCAAAATTCATTATGTCAGCGTCTGACTTGATTTCAGAATAAACATATCTTCATGCATGTACTGTGACTAGGTTCTCTCGCGTACTCTGCCCACGTCAGTCAGTTGCCTTTGTGTCTCGTATTATAATTTGTTTAAGGTGTGATATTTTCTCAAAGTGTTATAATATTAAACACGCCTTAGTGTCTCTGATGTGAAAAGCAGGGGCGATTGGCTGATAAACTAAGAGATTTACATTTTATGATATATTCAGAAGAGAGGAATATATCAAGTTGTATACGTTGTACCTTTCTTTTGGTCTCTCAGTCGTTTTGTTGTATTTATAACTAGTCTACTTTCCCAGTTGATCCCTTCTCTCAGTGTACTTTTTTAAATTGTTGTTCAACTAAAAGTGTAAATCATTTGTGGAAAAATATGTCTAAATCAACGGTCTATAGTCATTTGGTGGATTGTAATGCACACTTCGTCCCATTTGGGACTCGTCATCTGGAAATACTTGCATTCCCCTCAGTGAGTGAGTGACGGTGTTCCCACCGAGACTCGAACCTAGTGCCCATAATTTCAAACGCCAAAGCATTATCCACTATAGCGCTTGGTTCACGACAGTCACATCTTGTGCAACGGGTCCTAATAATTACTGAATTCAATTTCAGGTTTTCCCGTCGATTGATTGAACCAAGCACTTCGGTCTATGGTCATTTCACTTGTGAATTCCTTTAATTGGGTGATGTTTTGTTCACTAACTTTTTAATCATCCATTCATTGACTATTAAGGTTAAAACGAATGACTGATTAATTTCAACAAAGGACTTTGTACAGAAGTGCAGTAGTGCAATTCACCACACTCCATAAATCACACAGGGGTAGACAATAAAAAGAAAGAAGAAGGGATTAGAAAGAACTATAAAAAAAAGAAATTTGAGGGGGAAAGAATAATAACATAGAAAAAGCAATAGGTTATAATGGGTACTGGAAGTCAGAAAGAGTGAATCCATCTGTGCCAGCCATTGAGAACAATTTTGAGCCATACATCACCAGTTGCCTCCTGTCATTGATTCTTAGAATCCCCAGGATCCTGACCAGACAGCCCACTCCTCTCTAAGTAGCTCATACTAACATATTCTAAGTTTACGTTTGACTACCACTAGGTCTTTTGCAACCTGATTATATATCATCAGCTAAAATTGGCAGTCGACGAAGGCGATAGTAGATTCTAGGTAGCATGTTATAATAAAATGATTGAACATAAAACTTGGCGTATAAGGCTGGAAATTAAGTTTCTTTCCACTTAGACTTTAAATTCGCCATGAGACTGCACAACTTTAGTTACTATGTGATTAGATTTACAGGTTTGACCACGGATTGATATCAGTTAGATAACCACTGGAAACCAGGGAGTACTGGAGTACCAGTTGTTTCACCCTAGTTTGGAAATCATCGTCAGTACGCACCCACTGGGGTTCGAACCCAGAACTATCTGTTTACAAGGCAAGCTAGCTCGTATTGCCATTCAGCCACTGGGAACTAATTCAATGGCCAGCCCATGAATTCTAACTTATACCAATTCACGATATATTTAGTGAGACCACTAACCAATGTCATCGGTGGGAAATCTATCCTCAATCCGTGGTCAAATTCGTAAAAACAAATTTAATCCTTGCAAACCAGCTCTTGAAAATTAAATTTACCCCAAAAGGAATTTTTACATTGTCGTCGAAAAAAACGGTGACGACATGCCAGTTAATATAAGGAACTGATATCAAAGTTTGTCTTGATACTCTTGCTCTATGCTTTAGATTTTGCCGGGACTTGTGTTCCGTAGCAATTATTATTGTTTTTTTCCTTTAATTCCTATAGGGACATAGGGCTTCAGCCACACGTCTCCGTTGCATTCAGTTCTCTAGCAACGTCTTCACCTGGCTCCACATCTGCCCACAGCTTTCATCTCCTCTTCATATCACCTCCTCCAAGTCACTCTTGGACGACCAACTCGCCTCTTCCCTTTCGGGTTCCACTCGAGGCCTTGTCAAATGATGTCACTTGATGGCTTGTTTGCTCAGAATATGGCCAATCCATCTCCATTTCTTCCTGCCTATTTGTTGTACAATCGGTTCCTGCTGGTTTGGTTTGCTCATTGCCAGAGATCCCTGTCGCTGATCTTTTCTGGCCCGCTATTTGATCTTGAGTATTGAACGAAGACAGCTGTTGATGAAGGTCTGTAGTTTGTTCGAAGTGTCCTTCGTGACGAGGTGCCAAGTCTCTGATCCGTGTAGTGAGCAGCACTGACTGACTTCACATTGTAGTTGAAAATCCGGATCTTATTCTCATTTTGATTCTGAGTGTTGTTGACCTCCACACAGACTTCAGAGTCATGAAAGCTTGTCTTGCTTTCCCGATCCTCGTTTTGATATCCTCGTCAATTCCGTCCACCTGTAGTTGAACCCGGCCGATAACTGCTACCTTGTCGTGGTGGTCGGGCTTGAATACCGTAATGACCCAACATGCTAAACTGACTGGAACTCTGTCCATGCAGGTCCTACCATGTCAGGAAGGTTGTTTGGATAGCGGTTAAACTAAAAGCAGTTACCATGGGGTACATGGGCTCCAGTATCCAATCTGATCAAATGGCGTATGAACCCATATGAGTCACCGGAAACCATGGGAATGCCGCTCCTGGCGCTGCTCCGCTGCCTGCGGATTAGACTCCAAGTCAAAGGTTCGGGAGGTGGTCCCTAATAAAACCACCTGCTTCGGTCTGGGCGCCCGGGCAGTATCTCAGCCCTCACACAATGAATTGAATGAAGCAACAAACAATCAATGAAACTTATCGAGTGCTAATACACGTGTTGCAACTTCCTTCTTTCTTCCCTTCCGGATGATAGTTAACGAATACTGTTTGAACTTGTTAAGTATGACTGTTTTACTTCCAGATGAAGTTCTTTATCCGTTCTGTACTTATATATATATATCTTCTTTCTTTTTTCTTTTGACCTATGTTGTTTTATTATTATTGTGTGGTGCATCCTTCTTGGTTCCATATTGTACCAAGTTTTTATGCGTGTAAATAAATAAATAAATACCTGTAGTTGAAACGATGCTTCCCAGGTAGGTGGGTAGGTAAAGGAGGTTGTTTCTTTCAGGTTCCTCCCATTTATGCTGGCTGATTGTTTTCTGATGTTGTTGCTGTTACTGTTAGCCAGGAATCTTCATCACCTCTGTTTTATCTATGTTCACCTGAAGTCCTATCTTTGATGCTTCTTCTGCCAGCTTGTTGCTTCTCACTTGCATATCTTCCAGTTTGTGGGAAATCAGACATATATCATTGGCGAAGTCCAGATCCTCCAGGTTTTTTGTGTTTTGGTCCAGTTCCGTAGGAAGTAATATGTATTTTTTTAGAAGGTTAATGGTTATCTTGTCAATTAAAGTATTGGAAGATATTTAAATAAAGTTTTATATTAAATTCATAAGGAAGAACAAGTGTATGGAAGATATTTGTACAAACTAATCAGAGGTTTTCATATTCTTGCCCATTCTTGTCTACTCCCAACTACTCCTCTCACCTACTTAATGTGAGTCTGTCAAATCTTATGGGTATCATTTGCTATAAAATCAACAGGATATAACACTTACTTTTCATATATCTCTTGAGAAGTTAGAGTGGCTCATGGTAAGGGACTCAAATAAGAATGTATAGCTTTCGATGTAGATGGGAGTCGTTTTAGGTGTTCTCCAAACTTTTATGTTTCATCATTATTTTTTTAACATTAGATTTTTATGAATTGTTCAGCACTAACTTCCTGTTCATGAAGTTAGTTCACTTCCGAACATCGCATCAAGGAGAATGTCAATATATTTCTGAACAAAATAGAATTAGCTAGCAGTGTGTGTGTGTGTTTGTGGTCATTTTTACAATTACATGATGTTGTTTAAATAACCGAAGATAATTTCTCTTCTGCGGCATTTAATTCACATTTTTTTGAACTAAATTTAATATTCCTCAAAAAAAAAAAAAAAAATAAACAGTCATGAACTGCGCCAAATGGATGTCTGGCCAATGATTGAATGATTGAAACAGATATTGCAAAACAGGTAATACACCAAATGTTCTTATTATGGGCATTTTGAACTTTTAAGAAAGATATCTCACTGTCGTGGCTTAAACTAACTGTTGTAAATTTCATTGACTGGTAAAGCCATGGTTTGGTTTGACCACCGCTAGTTCTTTTCCAGCCTGAGCAATCCTATGTCAGCTAACATTGCCCACTGTCGAGAAAGTCGATGACTAGGCATACGTAACACATTTCCTAACCATCTAACTCATTCGATGTAATTTCACAGCCTCATCGATTGATTTCCCCTCCCAACTACCAGCACTCGACCGACGCCTAACCTCAATATTACTCACCTTATTATATCACTTCACACGGGCTAGCAGGAACCTATGATCAAAGACAGCTAATCTTTTCATGTCTTACACTCTCAATGGGGTCCGGGTGACAGTAAAAACCAATGGCTGGAAACAAGTTGTGACATGGCTCTAAATCGTTCTCAAAGGCTGGCGGAGATGCATCCACTCCTTGTGACAGATGATTTCCAATGAAACTGTTTTGTTCTTCGTTATTACTATTTCTCACACCTCTGTTTAGTGTCTCTATTATGCATTTCTTCTACTTTCTTGTCTTGCTTTGTGTGTTACAAGGAGGGAGTGTGACGACTTGAACTGGTGCACATCGTGCAAAGTTCTATTCGAAAACAGGCAGACAGACAGATCTTACTGTCGGCAACCTGTTATTGTGTATACTCTGAGGATACGTTTTAGCAAAATAATTTTCGTATGGAATGTTTGATCGACTAAGTTAAATGCCCATTTATTGATTGTTAAGTTATTTTGACATTTCATCAGCGTCTAATTGCTTGCATCACATTTGTTTTCTTCACCTGTTGTTTTTTCTTTCTTCTTATTCACCAGAGATTTTCATTCTATACGCAAGAAATGCATATTTGTCAACTGATGCAAGTAAAACTCGCTCAAATTCAAAATGCACTAGCATCTTCACAACCCGCTCACCATGAATCAACACCACACACATCACCTTCTTTACAAAACCTAAAATCTATGCTTCGACATGGAATTCCTGTATTACCAAAACTTCCAGGATGTAAAGATTTTGCTAAAAGTCCAAAATCTCCAACATCAATAAATTTTTATGCGAAGACTGACAATTCATCGTCGTCGCCTCTTCCACCTCCACCGACTCCTTATGGTTTACATCAAGATGTGCCTAGTTCACCGGTAATTCCTTCATCGTCTGTGATTTTACATCTACGCCTGTCTCAAGTCCATCGTTTTCTAGTCGTACTGTAAGTCCAAACAGTCAATCTGTATTAGTTACTAAACATCAACCACGTCGTGTACTACGTGTTCCAAATGTTGGAAAGCCGAAACTTTTTGGTGGTACAATCGATGAATATGTGGAAGCTACTAAACAGCCTATCCCTTGTATTATCCTATCTTGCACACGTGTTATTAATGAATTTGGTAAGTATATGATTCTTTTTTTATTGTTCTTGTTCGTAATTACGCCTACTTTTATGATAGCGAACTGAATTCTCTGAGGTGGCTCTACATTTTTCATCTAAATGTAAAGGATCTACCTACTCTCTTATTCTTATTTGTTTTCAAAAATTCAAATTAGGTTTTCCTATTGATTGATTTGATCGAAATGTTCGGCCTCTGTTGAAATATTGACTCCTAGTGCTGATACTTCGACGATATCTGATGACTACCACTTAATCGAGTTAAACCTCAGGCGTTGTCAAAGCATCCACACTAGGACTCGACATGTCAATAGAGACTGAACATTTCTGTCGAATCGGTCGACGGAAAAACCAAATTTAAACTTTAAGAAACAAACAATATCTGACACCTGTTGCACAGGAGGTGGCTCTTATCACCAAATTTTCTGCTAGATAATTCTTTGAAACGATGGATTCTAGGTTCGAATCTCGTTGGGAGCACCATCACTCACTGGAGATTGCAGGTAGGTATACATCCAGGGTTCAGTACCAAATAGGGCGAACTGTGCATCCTGAATTCCACTGAGTCACCACTCACTAAATAAACCCTCTTATTCCTTTAAAAAACTGAATCAAATCATTACAGATAGTATAGTTGTCTGGATTTTTATTTCTGACTCTACGATCAGTTCCGTTGTGGATAAGATTTTATTTTGATAAATCACACAGTGGTGTTGGACAGTAATATTAACTGATGACGTTTCAAGTACAAACTATTGCCACACATTATCATATCAAGTTACTCACACAACTTTCTTACTTCATTTATATACATGTGTGGAATCGATTAAATATTTGAATAAAAATCAATATAGGATAATGTACATTCAAAAATAATAATATGAGTGTTATTGATCAAATGCAATCAGATGAGAAATAAGACGAGTGTTTTTATAGTCATAATAAGTTACTTGTTAGAATGTGGAGATGTATTTGAATTGAAATAGAATTTTAAAATAATTTATTATCCTCTTCTGATTTGACTGATGGCAATAATATGGGCGTTATTAATCAATTACAATGAGATGAGAAATAAGACGAGTGTTTTTACAATCATAATGAAATTCATATTTGAATCGGAAAATGAACAAGGAGAATTAGCTATGTTAGATTGTAAAATATAACGAATAGAAAAAGGTAGACTGCATACTAGTGTTTATAAAACACCATCGCATTCTAATAGATATTTAGACTTTAATTCGTCTCGTCCGTTAACTGTTTAGGCAGGCCTAGTTAAGTGCTTGACAAACCGAGCAGTAGCACTAAGTAGCACAAAAAAGACCTAAATGATGAAATAAAACAGATAGAAGAAGAGGCGTTGGTGTTAAATAACTATCCTATAAAATTCATTACGAAGAAGGCCAAAAGAAAAGAAAAATAATTGTAGAACTAGTAATGATAACATAAATAAGAAATATGCCATCCACTGTTATACCATATAAGGATATCTGAGACTCTACGTAGGATTCTTAATAAAGAAGGAATTAGGGTGGCATTTAAACCTACAAACTCAGGTAGGACAAGCTTTGTAGGTTAAAGGACTCAGTTGACCCAATTAGACAAAATAATATAATAATACAAAATACTTGCATTGACTGAGTTAAGTCAACTACATCGCCCAAACTAGTAGATCAGGGGTAGTCAGATTATCGAAACATAAGAATAACTTGATATGATTATGAGTGGCAATGGTTTGTGATCGAAACGTCATCAGTTAATATTACTGTGTAACACTGTGTGATTTATCAAAATAAAATCTTATCCATAATGAAGTTACACTCTAACACAGTGGTCAAATTTTATCCTTATATCTACGATCAATTCATATTTTAAATTGAAATCGGAGAGATCGCTTCCCAGCGTAGTATTATTTACTTCAGTTTTTGTGAACTGTTCAGTTAAGTGTCAGGTGAACCAATCCATATTTTGTTTTCCTTTTTTTCTCATTATAAAATGACAAATTTAATTGATCAAATAGTTTTCATGCACCTAAATAAATATTTCCTCTTTTTACATACTTGGTCGACTACAATTTGATCAGAATTCTTGTATTTCTATTTTCGATAGTGTTATGAATGTATAAAATCAAACTACACACGTCTTCATTACTGGTTTGTTTTTATTCCACTCGTGGACGTGTGTTCTACTTTCTGTGAGAGATAAATCTTGATATAAACGTCAATTGAATTCCTAATTTTATAATGTATATTTACGCTGCTTAGTCTTGGGCAGTTATGCTTAAAAAACACGTATTCATGCCATATACTTGAATGTATCAAAATGATATTAATTATATAATCAATCTATAAGGGAAGAATTTTGTACGCCTGTTCTACTCTTTATTGTTAATAAGCGCTATGTAAAGATTTACAATACCTAAGAATAATGTTGTGTGTAGATATGTGTGTGTGTGTGTGTGTGTGTGTGTGTATCAAACACGTAAAGTAAGACTTAACAACTTATCTTTCGTAACATCCCGCATAATCAAACGCTTTAACGAAAGAAAATCAAAACAAAACAATTTCAATGTGAAATTTATCCTGCCATTGTTTTTTCTCTCTCCTCATTTTTAGTCTATCACTCTCAGAAGGAGGATAGGAGTGTGTGTATATTTATGGAAAATAAACGGTTTGAATGAATAAATGTTTTCCCAGTTCTGTTGATTACGAGGAAAGATACACTGTCAAACTTCATAGGAAAGAACTAGGACTTTTCACTCAACGTAGCCTTTTAAATGAAGACATGGGTAAGACAAGACTGCTGCCTACTTTCACCGACGGTATTCTTAATTTTGGTCAACTGGATTATGCGGTAGACTGTGGGGGAGCGAGAAGACAGATCTGAACTTCTCAGATGACTCATGTCTAATGTCACACAAACTTGATGACTTACCGGTGAAAACCAATGAACTGGCAGAAGACGGCAGCAAAGACAGGACTTGAATTAAACATAGAAAAGGCGGAAGTGAAGAAGATAAGTAACTACCACCGTACCAAAGGGCCGGTGTACTGGTCATCAATCCTCTCCGTCCTCCTTTATGGCTGTGACTTAGACCTGGCCATTGAGACATGCAAAGCTTGGTTAGCTGTCTTTGATCATAGGTGCCTGCGCTCTATCTCCCGTGTGAAATGGTATAATAAGGTGAGAAATATTGAGGTTAGGCGTCAGTCGAGTGCTAGGTAGTTGGGAGGGGAAATTAATCAATGAGGCTGTGAAATTGCATCGACCGAGATGGTTAAGACATGTGTTACGTATGTCTAGTCATCGCCTTCCTCAACAGTGGGCAATGTTAGCTGACATAGGATTGGTCAGGCTGGAAAAGAGCTGTTGGTGGTCAAACTAAAACATGGCACCAGTCAATGAAATCTACGACAGTTAGTTTAAGCTGGTCACGTAGGAAGATGTAGACTTCCTGACTGGTTGGGGTCCTCGGGATGGTAAAAACCAATGGTTGGAAACAATTGGTGACATGGCTCAAAATCGTTCTCAGTGGCTGGCGGAGATGCATCCACCCCTTATGACAGATGATTTCCAATGAAGCTATATTGTTCTTCGTTACTACTATTCCTTTTGTCTCACACCTCTGTTTACTGTCTCTATTTTGCATTTCTTGTACTTTTTGTCTTGCTTTGTGTGCTACAAGGATTGGAGTGTGGCAACTCGAACTCCCGCACGTCGGTGCGAAGTTTTATATCGAAAACAGACAGACAGACAGAACCACTACCGTACAACGGGCAAATAGGCATATTAGGCTACCAGTCGAGTTCACCATTATTATCGTATACCAATCAGCAGGCGCAAACATAACAAACAAGTTATGGGTTATGTTATGTTATAACACCACCAACAACAACAACAAGCACCAGTGAGTATAAACGGGAGACATGTGAATGAGGTTACTTCCTTCACTTATGTAGGCAGCATCGTTTTAGCTACAAGCGGAACGGATAAAGATGTCAAAGTCAGCGAGAAAAGGAAAGTCAAGACAGATCATCACCACTCTGAAATCTGTTTGGATATTATCTGAACTCAGCAATAAACAACAAGATTCGGATTTTCAACAGCCAATAATAATTCAGTCATCGCTTCAGTTTGGGTCAGAAAATTGGCGTACGCGTCACAAAAAGTATTTCTAGCAGGCCACTACACACTTTTACCTTCAGCTGCCCTCGGTAGCTCCATACTGAAGGTCCGATGGTCGGAAAGAACTGGCATCTTGATACTCTGGTGGCAAACTGATCAAGGGTCGGACACACCCTAAGAAGATCGTGGAACAGCATCGCACTCCAGACCATAGCTCGAGTGGAACCTGAGTGAGAAGCGGCAAGTTTGTCGTCTGAGAGTGAAATGGAGGAGATCGTGTGAGGAGAATATATCAGAGACTTCTGATAGTCGTCGGGTCATTGAAAGAGGACAGCAGACAACAGAATAAAGTGATGTTCTATTGAAGCCCTGTGTTCCATTCGGAATCCAAGGGGGGTATACAATGTATGTATGTGGTTAATAATATAACAGTAATAGAACTTTTCATTTAGTACTCCAAATTCACTTTGAAAGGCAGGTTAGACACTTCTCTGTCATAAATCAGGCGAAAATTAACATGGTCTTCTAAAATTCTGAATTCTAATCTGTATTTAATTATGTGGTATAGGTGTGTTTCAGATACGCCGGTTGATCATTAGTCATTTCTTCAATGGGTTTTCAAATGTGGTTACCACTCTAATAGATTTGTTTTACAATGCACTTGTGATTGCAGTTGGTTAGTTAAAAAGAACATCAACTAAGAGCCTTAGGTCAAAGTTTTTTTCTTATTTTTGGCACATACGTTAGGAAGTTGTATTTTCGACCTAGGAAGATATAGCACTAGGTATTACGTAGATCTGCTGACCTTTTACAGGTGATACATTGATTGACAATATGAAAGTAACTAATACTGGCACCTAGGATGAAACAAGTTTCAGA